AAAAAAAAACAACATCGTGGTGTGAGGCGGTTTTAAGCGAAACATTTCAAAATTCGGAATTTAAGAATCTGAAGACTAGAAAGCTGGGTACTCATAGCTTTGTGCCGCTACTTATGCAGCTCGTAGTGGTGTTTCGAAGGACTTTGTGAATCTTCGAGGGAGGTGGAGAACTCGTAAGGGCGTGGTTGATGCGTACATCGACAACACGCAGCCCTACCCAGACGCCTACACAGCTGCAGTCTTGGCTGGACCTACTGGTCCTTGCTTTACCCCCTAAAAGATGGAATGAGATGTGTTACACCAAGTTTTCTCGTCGATGAAATTGCGTCTACTATCAAGCAGGTCATGGGTGATCCAATTGCGAAGACATTGGCACAAACGTTATTGTGGGCAGCGTTGACACCGGATTCCAGTTTTAACTATTGTCTGCTTCCTGCAAATCTGTTTTTTTATGGGCTTATAAAATGATGGTGGAAGTTTAGATTTGAATCCAAATCACAGAGAAGAATTTTATGTGTTGGGTGATGGCTCGCATCTCAACTTCGCAATTATCGACAATAATCAAAACGGTGGGCCAAAAATGGTAGTATTAGTTCGTCTTCCCGTCGAACCGTGACTGGAAGTTCTGGTGGACACAGTAATCAACGTGAACTAGCTGCTCTACAGGCTCAAATTACATCAAGTCGACGATATATGATAGAGACTATGAATGAGATTCAACGAACCCGAAGCGAATTGCTGCGAGAGCTACAAAAGGTTCATGCCATGTTGAAGCGACTGGTCATGCAGCCAACCACTCGCCTAATTCTGCCTTCCAGTGGAGTGCTGCGGCCAGCCACAGATCCTGCGAGCTCTCAATCTCGCGCGCGACCTGCCGTTGCTCGTTTCTCCAAGAGGCCTAAGGACCTGTACGAACTGTGGCACGAGTATCAGTTCGGTATCAGCGGATTGAAAGCGGCTAAGGAATTCACGCCTGCTGAACGAGGCGCAAACAAATTTGCATATTCCAGAAGAAAACCTATTTGGGATGTAATTACTTAACTGGTGGGCTCGGGATATACAAGCGATGCTGCAATAGACAAGGTGTATCAAGTCTACGCTAGGAAGCTATCGGTGTCCAGCATATTAGTTTCTCTTCGCACATCCCAGTCTGCGTTACACTCCTCTACGTTAAACACTGTAGCCAACCAAAACACTAAGCTCAAATATTAGCCTACCAAAACCTTGGTTACACAATCCGTCAATATTTAAACAGTATTAATAAACTTGCTGCAGTAATAACCCTTTCGTGAACG